TAATAAATTCGGATTCTCCAATACTGTAAAGTTCAATGTCATCTGCACAGGTAACTAGAATCCCAGGTTTCATATGTGAGGGAAAATCAATGTACATGGCTAGTTTTAATTCCAACATCTGATAAATAGGGTTACCAAAGGGTAAAGCAGTGAAAATTTTCCCCAGAGCACTCGCATTTGGAAGGCGTTGACTGTAGCCACCTATGTAAAATTAAACAAAAATAGTGTTTTTAAATGTTTATAAGATTGTTTTATAAGACTTAAAAAACCCAATGGCACCAGTTCTAACTCAAAGTATTTCTAAACATATTTAATATATACAATGCATAATTATAACTTAGGAAAGAATAATAAATTCCAGATTATAAATTGAAAGAGCAATTCTCCTATGGCAATTTGATGTAAATGTGATTCTAGGTTAGGAAAGAATTCTAATATTTTAGAGTCTGTGAATTGTTTTGAATAACTCTGTAACTAGTAAAAACAATCACAGGCTAAAACATGATCTTGTATCTACATCTCAAACAATAAATTTCAACCATGTTTAAACTCTTACATTAAGAGTCTACTTCACAGGGGAAAAGTAAGTCACAAAAAACTAATATACCAATTCCAAAATTCAGTTATCTATTAACAGTAATTTCTAGATGCAGTGTCTTTCCTCAAATTCACACACACATTTAAAGTAAGTAAAGTAGAATTATCTCAAAGTATTTAAAATTTATACTTGTTTTTAATTTAAACCAGCTTTTTCCCTTTAGGATGAGTCTTATGACTTCTTAATTCCTTGTAAAGTGTTTTCTCTTAAACAGCTTACATCATTTTTAAGTAACTAATTATATTGAGGCAGCATTACAGAGTAGAAAGGATCAGATGAAAATGGATTCAAGCTCTAGTTCACCACTTTTCTTGTTTTTCTTTGGATTTCCTCTAAATCAGCAATGTAGAACAATACTTGCTTTATCATGTTTTGTGAGATTGATAATGTAAATAAAGCACTAGGCACAGAGTACACTATTCAACAAAAAAGAGCTAATTCTTTTCTGCTTTTTCCTTTTCTAAAGACTACCCAAATCAAGTTTAGCATCATAAAAATGATGTATTTCTAACAATATATTTTCTGGTATCTTAATTTTTACTAAATTGGCAATAATAGTATAATACTTGCTCTAAAGTGAAGCGATACATTAGAATTTTTTACTTTGTTAGTCTTAAACTCCAAACTTGGATGCTTTCCTTGATATCATCTTTACAAAGAACCATTGTTCTTTATGTAAATCATAAAAAATGGAAAGTGCCTTGGAAGCCATATAGATGAGTTGGTTCTAAAATACTCATCGCCGGACTCGTACCATTTCATGACAAAGTTTTCATCAGCCCAGTACATAGAGAAAAATAACAAAGGGTTTTCATACAACCAAAATTTTCATACAACTAAATTTATCCAAGTTAAAAAACTATCCTTTATTCTGAGATTTCTTTCTTACTTTTCTGCTTTAAAATGTCCTTTTACATGCAATATTCCTTCTTATATACTTTCTTGTCACTTCCAGGTTTTGTTACCAACTTTCTGTTGTTAAGCTCTTTTAAGAATTGTAGACTCTGGCCACCAATAATCAGATAAAAATGCATTATAGGACATTTTTCAAAGACTTGGTAATCACATTGCTAAACCTGCCTCTACCCTATAAGAATTCCCTCCTAAGAAATGTTCATATTTTGATGAGTTCTGTCTGAGGAAAATCATTTTCTATACACATACCAAAAACAGTGTCTATGAAAAGCTGATGATTTATATGATCTTACAATATGAAGGATAAATTTTGTGCAAAATATTATACTGCTTACAACCTAAAAATATCAAAGAATAACTTCAAAGATGAAAATAAAATAAATGGGGGAGGGTAATTAATATTTGCAAGGGAGAAAGTACCTAAGATATCAAAAGTAAAATACCAAAAAAAAAAGTAAACTTAATAAAGTTCAACTTTACCAGAGTGAATTAACAGGATGGTAAAAGAATTCCATTTATCTCCATATAGCTTCTCTAAACTCTGAAGGGAACAAAGTGTCGATCCTCCATTTCCTTAAAAATAAAGTTAAAAAGCACAATTTATTTCATAGAAACCAACTAAAATGCTGTAATTCTGGTAAATTTAGGTGTTTTAAATTTGAGGTAATGGCTTTTGGCTACAATTAACTAGGCTGAGAGCAAAGTGTGGGCAAAAACATCAAATTAAAAACACACTTCATAGCAATTAAATAAATGAATTAGTAATGAAACCCAGAGATTAGCCCTCAGTAATAAACAACAAACTAATCTTCTACTGAATAATAAAAATATGATAAAAAAGAAATGATAAAAAATTAGGCCACCTGCAACACTAGATTTAAGTATACATATTCACTTGGAGTTGCAAATTGCAAAACCCATTAAAATAATTGTGCTATATGATATAATCAAATGTGTGAGCTTGAATTCTTTCTAAAAAGTTTTTTAGAACCTAGTTCCCTAAAAAACACCTTAAATGTAACTTCAACTTACTAGTTACCTTGGACAAGTTACCTTTTGTACCTCAGATTTACATCTAAATGATGAAAATCATAAAAGTATTGACCACTTATTTGCAAGGATTAAAAGACTAGTTAATTAGAAAAACGCGATTATTAGATATAGATACACTATCTCTGCTTATCAAGGGGCTTCAGCTTTAAATATAACATGGAAAATGGCCCCAGAAAATAGCTTGTATTTATACCTGCAATGGAAGGTCAAAGGCACAGTTGCATAAACTGGATTTTTAAAGTAAGTATCTGTAATACTTATGCCATTAGACTGTACTTTTTTGCATTCTGATTTGTGATCTCAAGAGGCCAAATGTATATTTCTTTGTGATTTTCTCTCTTCATGTGAATTTCTGAAAAAACTGTGAGTTGAGAGGGACGTTAAGAGCCTTACTGTTGAGGACCAAAGGAATATTCACCATCTGAGTAAATTTTATCAAAACTAATAAAATTATCTATTGAATAATATAACATTCTAAAAATTTTTCATGTCAAGTCACAATGTGTAGGAACAGTTGCTATGATTTTTATCTTTCTTAAAAAATAATTTGATTTAATATTTTAAGTTTTTAAGGACTATGGGTGGAAAGATATACAGCTTATAAAACTACAAGACACAGGAAAGCACTTTTTCTGTGACTGTTCTGCCCAGAACCTATATGCATCTTATCATATATGCGTACCAATTTTGGCTCCAGCAGGATCAACAAAAACATGATACTGAACTCCAAGGGGTAACTCTTTTTTTTTCAGCTTTTCTGACAGCTGTTGCTTATAAGCAAGTTCCTGTTTTTTATCAGCTGCTGTTATTGCAACAATGTCCCAGAATTCTCCAGCTGCCACAGGTTTGCCTATGTGGAAAAAGCAAGGAAATTATAAATATCAGAATTCTCTAGCTGTTACAAGTTTACCTATTTGGAAAGAAGAAAAAAGAGGTAATCTTATGTTCATAAATTTGACTTCTGCTTTTGAGCATTAGGTAAGAATTAGTGGCCAGTTTGTATGCTTCAGAATAGTTCTAAGGAGAATTGTTCAAATTATTTCTTTTAGATTATTTCTTTAATGGTTTACAGTCCATTTATTTAGATATTCTGTAAGTTGTAGTGTTTCTTGATTGACAGAAGCACTTTTTATTTGCTAAAGATTACCTCAATTCTTAAGAAGACGAGACAAAAGAATAAATGAATTTCTAGCTTTGAAAATCAGTTTTCATCTATCACAACCACTTAGTTTTTGTTGGCTAAGAAAGATTCAACCCAAAGATCCCTTCCTACAGTGTTGCTGTTTATAAACACAGGTATTTTATTTTTTTATTACCTTAATATGAACCACAAAAATTTACAAAGGCTATTGTGGTATGACATAAAATTCTGGGTAACAGAAAAGTTCCCAACTACCTGATGAACTCATTAAGACAGACTGAACTTTTGGTGTATAGTTGCAAGTGCTTCTTTATTAATAAACAAGATAAACAAGGGTTTTTATTAGCTAACAAACAGGATTTGTCAGCTAGAATCTAATAATCTTTAATATTTTGCTGTCATCCAAGTATTATTTTCTGTATTTTTAATAGAGTAATTTCAACAAAAATATCAACTAATTTCATTAAACAGTTGTACAGGGACTGACAAGTGGCATAGCTTTAATAATATTTTTTTGATAAACTTTTCCCTTTAAATTTGAATCCATAATTCCTCCATTCTGTTTTTTTTTACTCAGTAACCATGTTATAGAACAAATTGGTGATGTAGGTAGTGAGGTGGGATAAGGGTAAAATCAGATTGGTAAGGGTCAAAACACTATACTTTAGTTCTTTTGGATTTAAAATAACTTGTTAATAAGCCAAGCAAAAGCCGAATTTTTATCCAGCTTCACTAGTCAGATTAACAATTTTTTCTTCTCCTTTCTATTCCCTTATTTTACTTTTAAATATATTACTATCAATAAAGTTAAAGAGTGTAACAAGCATTACTAAAGAAAGGACAGTAGCAGACCAATAAAAACTCAAGATCATGAGGCCTGGCGACCGTGCTAGATCCGCAGGTGAGAATCAGGCAGGAAGTAACAGTACGACAAACTTCCCGGCACATATTCCCAGTTCCCTTCCTTTCTAATGCCGGGGAGAGCTGGGGCTCCTCCACTGATACCTCTCAGCTCCGAAAATCTCCGCAATTTTCGCTGGGTGGCTTCTCGTATAGATACTCCCGGAAGGGAACTAGCGGCAGCCATCGGCTTTAGCTCCTACAGCGGCTGAAATTTTCCAGGTATTTCGCCGCCGAGGACATCGCGCATGCGCCCTGGCAAGTAACCCGACCGGTTTCGCCTCCGTCCTGCCCCTTACGTGCGTCCCTCACGTAACCACGCCCCCACGGCTCAGCCCTGACCAGGAATAACCCTGGCGGGTGAACGCTGAGCCTCACCCCGTCTCTCTAGCAACGGTCTCCAGAGCAGATGGACGCTTAGCAATTTGTCAGACCGTGCGAGGCCTGGGCCGCTTGTTCCCAACTCATAAGGCCTTGCTGCCGGTAGACCTGGTAAGTTGTTCAGGTTGGGCGGCAAAATTGCTAGAAAAAAATGAAATTACACACGCACACACACAAAAGATGAAATTACAGCCTAGCTTCCAGCTTTCTCTCGAAATGCCATTTGCCCCTTATAACTTGGCGGTTTGCTTCAGACAGGAGCGGTTCCCAAAGATCTCTTGACAGTTAATTCCTACCCTCTGGTGTGGTCTGAAGCTGTCGGCCCCAACCCCAGGTCCAGATACACAGTATGAACATTTTCAATCTGTATTCTCTTCAGGAACTTTAGGTTTGTGATTTCTTTGCCATTGAGGCTGCTAGAGAGTGAGCCTCTCCATTCCTCTCAGTTTTGAGTTAACTTCATAGGCTTTTCTAAGTTTTCTAAAATTCAATCTGTTACCAGGCTCTTAACATTGGCGTTAGTTTGGTTGCTTTTCTGGAATTCTTTTGTACATACCGATTAATCTAGTACTTTCAATAACATTCCTGAGAATAGCCTCATTAGATGTTTTTTTGGTGAGCATCTGGAGGTACTTAAAAAGCACCAAGTTTATAATTAGTTTTACAGATTAATTTATTCATCTTTACACATAAGAAAGCTATAAATCAGAACAGTGATTTAGTCTAGGTCTCACAATATGTAAGTAGCAGAGAAGGTGTAAACAAGGTATTTCAATCCCAAACCCAGAAATCATTCTATCATGCACATATAGTTTGCTTTATTTGAGAAAGCTGTCTTTATCAGTCTTTATCAGGAACACTGGCATTTGGAGCCCTACAAGTTCTTGCGAGGAACTTAACTTAGATTTTTTTTTCTTCTAACGACTTGACCCTAGTATTTAATTCTGCACTTACATAGAGACAGCATTGAGTAAAAAGGATACTACTATTACATAATTTTATCATTTAAAAGTTTTCTCTTTTGTTAATAAAAACAAACATTAAGAGCATGTAGAGAATAAGGCAGACATGAGGTGAGAGTGTGTGAAAGGGAAAGTAGCAAGAGAGAAAGGCCAGAGGTGACAGAGGATTTTGTTTTTTACTCAGTGATGCAAAGCCATGCAGGGTTTTGATATGACTTGGCTTATGTTTAACAGATTCTCTCAGAAATGTGAAAATAGACTGGAGTAGTGGAAGCTGGGGCAAGGATAGAAGCAGGAAGACCTATTTGGAGGTTACCAAAGTAAGACAAGTGAGAGGTGGTGAAGGCTTGGCCAGGATAGTAGCAGTGGAGACGATGGGAAGTTGATTAGACTGTGGATATATTTTTGAAGGCGCAATCAATACAGTTTTCTAATGGAATAGCTGTGGAATGTGAGGCAAAGAGAAGAATCAAGGATGGCTGCTGGAAGGGTAGGGTTGTATCAATGGAGATGGGAAAGGCTATGGATGAGGAATGTTGATGGGATAGTAAAGAAAGTTCAGAATTTGGTTTTGGACATGTGAAATGAACAGACGTTTTTCACCAGCAAAATGGGGGTATTCAAGGATAGCAGAGAACTGCAACTGGAGATAAGCAAGCTTGAAAAAATCAAGCATTTCCTGAGAACAAAGTTGAGGAGTGCTCTTTTATAGAAGAGGGATAGTTGGAGGACAGATCTAAGCAAAAAGTCTGCTGAAGTTAGGTGTCTATGTGTTATAGCTGCTCATTGCCTGCATTGTATTAGTCTCTCATTGGCTGGGCTGTTGCCAGGCCATTATTGAGGGAGGCAGAAACTCTTCCCTCCAGAACTGGGTGGTAAAGTAACCAAAATGGTAGTTACAAGGTGTCCTCTTTCTTCCTCTTTCTTGCAAGGGGTCTGCAATTGATCAGGAGTTATGAGCAGGGGAACTCCCTCTGCAGGCCTCCTGACACCTTGTTAGTGAGGCTTATCTTGATACAATCTTGAAAGTTGTCAGCATATGGATTTATTGTGCAATTGTTATTGATTTAAAAAACTGGATTCTATAGCTGAAACTTCTGAGTACCCTATAGTCTGTCTTGAAACATCTTGATTTATGCCCTAGATATGGTCTCCCATAAGTCCTTATTATAAACTAAAGTTATTCTATATTAAGTCAAAGAAGGAAAGTAGGTCTTGGAAGGAAGAGCCTGAGGAAAGACTTCCTAAAGTATTTTCTAAATAAGGAATTCAAATGATGGCATGAATTGGGGAAATCACCCTTCATTTCAGGACCTATAGAAATTGATGAGTTGTAAAGGTTTATCATATCTAATTATTCCATATCTGGTTCTTTGTATTTAGAAGACTGGTTTACTCATAGTTTAGGCTAGTATCCAGGTGTCTGTGAGTTACGTAGGTGCATGCTAAGTTACAGATTCTTCGTCCTCAGCCCAGAGACTGATAATGTAGATAGAATATGGGATCCATGAATCTGACTTCGATTAATTTCTTGAGTGGTTCTTAGAGTTTGAGGATGACAGTTTTAGGCCTTACCCAGGGTATAAAAATTAGCCAGTGTCTTGAAACAGTGCAAGGGTTTATCCAGATTTTCGTATTAACTCTCATTTGGATTATGCTGACCTAGTTTACCTCCACATAGTAGAAATAGATTATTCCAGTGGGGAACATATATAATCTTACCAAACATCCTCAGGCCAGTTGAACTCATATACTCTCTTCTAAGCTATCACTGGATGACTGCCTTTTGTGAAAACTGAAATTAACCACAATAAGGGAAATCTCATATATATATATGAAAAATACTGTATAAAATCATGTAAAAGAGCTTTGATCCAGAAGTTTTTAGGTGAATTTAATTTGTTAAATTTAGAAACTTCTAGAATTCTAGATCTTAATTGCCTAATTTAATCGAACATAAAAATAAAGGGATTGTAAATTGTCTATTTAAAAAATATAACAGTTGAAGCCCTGTATTGCACCTTACCTTCATTTTGCTACATTTTTCAGCCATCCCTAGGAAGTTTATCACTCTTCTGATTTGGAGTTCATTATTCAATGTATTCATTTCAACCAAAGTTAATATGAAACTTATGCTAAGGTATAGTTTTTTTGTTTTAGTTGTTTTAATTAGAGATGATGTGTTATCTTAACTACTTCATTGAATTCCATATTTTCTAAGTATACTTGGAAATATGAAATTTTTCTTCTGCTTCCTGATTAATTCATTGGTGATGTTAATGATGCATTTTTGAGTGTTAGATACATAAATATTGGATATTTAAGATGCTTCATGATAGAAAGTTTTATTGGAATCAGATTTTTCAAGTTTTCATTTTATACCCATTTTTCTTTTATCATTAGCAAATATATTTTTCTTTCAGATAGATATATTTTTGGAAGTTGAAAAAACTAGTGAAAGTAATTTCTCATTTTTCCTTAGATGTTTCATGGAACAATCACGAAAGAGCTAACCAGTCATGAAGAATGGACTCACTATAATGAAAACGTGATAGAAGATCAGACAGATTTTGTTTTTGTGAAGTTCAGTGGCCTTCATTTAAAATCTATGGAAAATTTGCAATCTTGTATCTCTCTTAGAGTATGCATCTTCTCAAACAATTTTATTAAAGATATTCATCCACTTCAAAGTTGCATAAAATTAGTCAAACTAGATCTCCATGGAAATCAGGTAAGCAAGAGCTATTTCAGATATTTTCATATAAATGAAATTGATTTTTAATGAGCATTTATATTATCTATCAACAATATTTCTCCAAAATAATTTTTTTATTAAGGAATCATTGATATCCAATCTTATGAAGGTTTCGCATGAACAACATTACAGTTACTACATTCACCCATATTATCAAGTCCCCCCACACACCCCATTGCAGTCATTTTCCATCATTATAGTAAGATACTACAGTGTCACTACTTGTCTTCTCTGTGCTATACTGCCTATCCTGTGTCCCCCCTATATTATGTGTGCTAATCATAATGCCCCTTAACCCCCTTCTCTCACACTCTTTACCTATTCTCCTCAACCCCTTTCCCTTTGGTAATGGCTTGTCTCTACTTGGAGTCTGTGAGTCTGCTGCTGCTTTGTTCCTCCAGTATTGCTTTGTTGTTATACTCCACAATGAGTGAAATCATTTGGTACTTATCTTTCCCCGCATAGCTTATTTCACTGAGCATAATACCATCCAGCTCCATCCATTTTGTTGCAAATGATAGGATTTGTTTTCTTCTTATGGCTGAATAATATTCCATTGTGTATATGTACCACCTCTTCTTTATCCATTCATCCACTGATGGACACTTAGGTTGCTTCCACGTCTGGGCTTTTGTAAGTAGTGCTGTGATAAATATAGGGGTGCATATGTCTTTTTGAATCAGCAATCTTGTTTTCTTTGGGTAAATTCGTAGGAGTGGAATTTCTGGGTCAAATGGCATTTCTATTTTTAGTTTTTTGAGGAACCTCCATAATGCTTTCCACAATGGTTGAACTGATTTAGATTTTTCACCAACAGTGTCAGAGGGTTCCCCTTTCTCTACATCCTCACCAGCATTGTTGTTCCTTATCTTTTGGATGTTGGCCACCCTAAATGGTGTGAGGTGATATCTCATTGTGGTTTTAATTTGCATTTCTCTGATGATTAGTGATGTGGAGCATCTTTTCATGTTCCTTTTGGACCTCTGAACTTCTTCTTTGGAGGATCATCTGTTCAGATCCTCTGTCCATTTTTTAATCGGGTTATTTGTTTTTTTGGGTGTTGAGGGGTGTGAGTTCTTTATTTTGGATGTTAACCCCTTATTGGATATGTAATTTATGAATATATTCTCCCATATTGTAGGGTGCCATTTTATTCTACAGATGGTGTCCTTTGCTGTGCAGAAGCTTTTTAGTTTGATATAGTCCTATTTACTCATTTATGCTTTTGTTTCCCTTGCTTGAGGAGATACATTCAGGAGATAGTTTCTCATGTTTATATTCAATAGATTTTTGCCTATGTTTTTTCTAAGAGTTTTATGGTTTCATGACTTACATTCAAGTCTTTGATCCATCCCAAGTTTACTTTTGTTTATAGAGTTCGACAATAATCCAGTTTCATTCTCTTACATGTAGCTGTCCAATTTTCCCAACATGAGGCTGTCATTTCCCCATTGTATATCCATGCCTCCTTTATCATATATTAATTGGCCATATATGTATGGGTTTATATTTGGGCTCTCAGTTCTGATCCATTGACCTATTGGTCTGTTCTTCTGCCAATACCAAATTGTCTTGATTACTGTGGCTTTGTAGTAGAGCTTAAAATTGGGAAGTGTAACCCCCGCTGACTTTATTCTTCTTTCTAAAGATTACTTTGGCTATTAGGGATCTTTTGTGGTCCCATATGAATTTTAGAACTATTTACTCTGGTTTGCTGAAGAATGCTGTTGGTATTTTGATTGAATCTGTAGATTGCTTCTTTAGGCAGGATGGCCATTTTGGCAATATTAATTCTTCCTATCCATGAGCATGGGAGGTATTTCCATTTATTGCTGTCTTCTTTAATTTCTCTCATGAGTATCTTGTAGTTTTCAGAGTATAGGTCTTTCACCTCCTTGGTTAGGTTTATTTCTATATATTTTATTCTTTTTGATGCAATTGTGAATGGAATTGTTTCCTTGATTTCTTTTTCTGCTAGTTTGTCATTAGTATATAGGAATGTAACAGATTTCTGTGTATTAATTTCTTTTCCTGTGTTGTTGCTGAATTCAGTTTTTAGTTCTAGTAGTTTTGGAGTGAATTCTTTAGGAGTTTTTATGTACAATATCATGTGATCTGCAAAGAGTGACAGTTTAACTTCTTCCTTACCAATCTTGATGCCTTTTATCTCTTTGGGTTGTCTGCCATGGCTAGGACCTCCAGAATTATGGTGAATAAAAGTGGGGAAAGTGGACATCCTTGTCTTGTTCAATATATTAGAGGGAAAGCTTTCAGCTTTTCACTGTTAATTATGCTGTTTCCTGTGGGTTTGTCATATATGGCCTCTATTATGATGAGGTTCTTGCCCTCTCTACATATTTTGTTGAGAGTTTTTATCATGGATGGATGTTGAATTTTATCAAATGCTTGTACAGCATCTATGGAGATGATCATGTGGTATATGTCCTTCTTTTTGTTGATGTGGTGGATGATGTTGATAGATTTTCGAATATTGCACCATCCTTGCATCTCTGGAATAAATTCCACTTGATCATGGTAAATGATCTTTTTGATATATTTTTGAGTTAGCTTTAGTAATGTTTTGTTGAGTATTTTTGCATCTATGTTCCTCAGGGATATTGATCTTTAATTTTCTTTTTTTTGTGTTGTCTTTGCCTGGTTTTGGTATTAGATTGATGCTGGCCTTATAGAATGAGTTTGGAACTATTCCCTCCTCTTCTACTTTTTGGAAAACTTTAAGGAGAATGGTTATTACATCTTCTCTAAATATTTGGTAAAATTCAGCAGACCATCTGGTCCAGTAGTTTTGTTCTTAGAGTTTTTTCACTACAAATTCCATTTCATTGCTAGTAATTGTTCTGTTCAGATTTTCTGTTTCTTCCTAGGTCAGTTTTGGAATGTTGTATTTTAATAGAAAGTGGCCATAGCTTCTAGGTTATCCAATTTGTTAGCTTATAATTTTTTAGAGTATTCTCTAATAACTCTTTGTATTTCTATGGTATCTGTAGTGATTTTTCCTTTCTCATTTCTGATTCTGTTTTTCTGTGTACAATCTCATTTTTCCTTGATAAGCCTGGGTAGGTGTTTATCTATTTTGTATATTTTCCCAGAGGAACAGCTCTTGGATTCATTGATATTTCCTGTTTTTCTATTGTCAATTTTATTTATTTTAGAACTATTTTCTTATACTTTATTTATTTTAGAACTATTTATTTATTTCTGCTCAGATCTTTATTAGGTCCTTCCTACGGACTCTGGGCCTCATTTGTTCTTTTTCTAGTTTCATTAATTTATGAGTTAAGGCTGTTCATTTGGTATTGTTCTTCTTTTTTGAGGTAAGCCTGTATCACAGTATACTTTACTTTTAGAACTACCTTCACTGCATTGCACAGGTTTTGGGGTATTGAATTGTTGTTTTCATTTGTCTGCACATATTGCTTGATCTCTGTTTTTATTTGGTCATTGATTAATTAATTCTTTAGGAGCATGTTGTTAAGCCTCCATTTATTTGTGAGCTTTTTGTTTGTTTTGCATAACATCTAGTTTCATAACTTTGTGGTCTGAGAAGCTGGTTGTCACAATTTTAATCCTTCTTAATTTACTGTGGCTCTTTTTGTGGCCTAGTATGTGATCTGTTCTGGAAATGTTCCATGTGCATTTGAGAAGAATGTGTATCTAGCTGCCTTTGGCTGGAGTGCTCTGTAGATGTCTGTTAGGTCCATATATTCTAAGTGTTGTTCATTGTTTCTTTCTCCTTACTTATATTTTGTCTGGTTGATCTGTCCTTTGAAGTGAGTAGTGTGTTTAATTTTCTAAAATTAATGTATTGCATCCTGTTTTCCCTTTTAAATCTGTTAGTATTTGTTTTACATATTTACATGTTCCTATGTTGGGTGCAGAGGTACTTACAATGGTTATATCCTCTTGTTAGACTGACCCCTTTATCATAATATAATGTGCTCCTTTGTCCCTTGTTACTTT